TCACCCTCAAACTCCCTCTCAAACTCTTTACAAGACAATAAAGAAATTTGTGGCTTTTGTGGTTGTGAAAACCGTGGGGGTGGTAAAGGGTGCAATTTCTTTTGTTTCCCTTGGTGAGTGATAGTGTAGGTGTTATGGTACCCATCATGGATAGATTTTTTATCAGATTGCCACGGTCTTCCAAGAAGAATATGACAAGCATCCATTAAAACAACATCACATAATTGACTATCATGATATGAACCAATCGAAAAATTCACCATACATTGCTTTCTAACCCCAGTACTAGCATTAGAATCTAACCAACTCAATTTGTAAGGATGTGGATGTTGTGGTGGTAAGACCTAGTTTAGATACTAAGGTTTTGACACAGTATTAGCCTCACTGCCCCCATCAATAATTAAATCACATACCTCGTCACCAACTTTACATTTGGTGATGAAAAATGTTTGTCTTTGTGGCGCCAAAGGTTCCTCCATACGAGCTTGCAAAGCTCTCCTAACCACCAAGTTTGTTTTGTCCCCCATTTCAGGATAGCATTGGTCCTCCTCCTCTTCCTTTTCGTACGGGGTCACCTCCTTCTCTTCTTCAGACTCAAATTCCTCCCAATTGATGCTTTGGGTGGCTATGAGTTTAACCTCTTGCATGGTTAAGGCTCTTGAATTAGGACAATCTTTTTTATAATGTCCTCTACCTCCACACTTGTAACATACAATGTCACTAAGCTTGAAGTCTTTCGTGTTCCTCTTTGGTGGCTCATTAGGCTTGCTAAAAGAAGAACCCTCCTTTGAGTTGAAGGGTGGTTTGCGTACCACTGGAGTAGTAGTAGGCGTTTTCTTCCTTTTCCTTTTAGCATCAAACTTTGTCACAAGTTTGCAAGCTTCCACAAACGTGAGGTTAGTGTAACCATCAAGTTTGTCTTGTAACTCTTGTTCCAACCCAGCTACAAAACGCCCCAGCTTCAGCTCTTCATTTTCAGTCACTTCACATACAATGGCAAGCCTATCAAATTCTTTGATATAGTCTTCCACCGAATCACCATTTTGTTGGAGAGTACTCCATTTCACATACTGATTTTGCTTGTAATTGTGAGGAATGATGAAACGATCTCTCATTCTTCTCTTCAGCTTTTCCCAAGTGGAAATGTGAGCCTTACCCCTAAGGGTACGCCCTCTTTGTTCTCCTTGCAACCAACTATCACCATAGCCTTTCAACTTGACTTTGGCAATCTTAAAACGTTGAACATCCTCATGAATGTCCTTGTATTCAAAGTACCTTTCCAAGGATTTCTCCCATTCCAAGTACTTCTCTGGATCAAGTGTCCCATCAAAAAGAAGGAACGTCCACTTTGAGACTCCTATCCTCCCTCCTAGGTGGAGGGTCTTCACCTTGATCTCTCCTATCTTGCTCGTTCATGAGCCTTGCCATCAAGGCAGCAAGGTTCCCTTGGAGATTGGCATTGGTTTCGGCCAACCTTTCCTGACTAGCAATGGATCGATTAAGAGCTTCCAAAGCTGTCCTCAAGTCTTGATTCTCTCCCATGGTATGTAGGTATTCGACCCCTTTGGAAAATTTAAGAAAATTTTCCCCCTACCTGACGCGCCAAATGATGTGTAAACAAGATGAGAAACCTTGTTACAAGAAATGACAAGTTAAACGATTCAAAGGGTTTTAAAGTTCAAGTGTCAAGTAATCAGTTTAGTTAGGGGAACTCTCACCCTAAGCTAAGGATATAGCAAAGAGGAACTCTCACTCGTTGCTTGGGATAGTTTAGATGAGGGAACTCTCACCAAATCATAAACTATAAGTCCTAATTTTGGGAACTCTCACCAAAACTAACACTCTTCAAATTCGGATACTCAAATTTGGAAACAAAGTGAACTAAACTCAAGTCACTTCAATTACAAAAACACACGTTTTTAGGCAAAATAATCTTGGATGTTTTTATTCATTCAAAGTATGCTATTTATAGCATCAATACAACCTTTTCACTTGCCTACTTTAATTAACAAAATAAAATAGACAAAAGTAAATTAACTAAAGGGAATGAGTGGAGAATACACGTCCCACTTAACCCCTTTTACAAAAACAAGATTAAACGTAATTAAAAGAACTAAAGACTAGGCTTGAAACAAGGGAAGATGATCAGCCAAACAGCATCCAAAGAGCATCTTCAATTACACGCCCAAAACAGCCATATGCAAGCTTGTGTAACCCCCATTTTAATGCCTTGATTCACGCCTCTTTATTCTTCATAACCCCCAAATAATGAGGTGCAATGTTCAGCCAACAAACTCCATAATTCACGCCCAACAAGTGCCATGAATCACGCCTCTTCAATCAGCTTGTAACCGTTGCACTTGGAGCTTGGAAAACCGTCACTTGCTAGATACTTTCTACAAGGTTAATTACACTAAGTGAAGTGTAACCACTGTAAAATGTTTCGGACCAAAACGTGCAAAAGAGTAAGGAATGAATTGGATAGAAACAACTCCTTTGCATTGCTTTGAACTTGGACCTCACCTTGATCACAATCATTAGAACTTTGACCATATTGGTCACGTGGGAATGGTGACCAAGATGGTCAAGGTCACTCATCCATGGTCAAGATAAGGAAGTCCAAAACGGTGCTAGTGAGCAAGGTACTGAGGGAATCTTTTTGTCCAAATCATTCTTCAATCCAATGCACGGTTTTAGTCCAAGGAGTTTAACAAATGGTTACACTCTCTTAGTGTAACTAATCTTGTTGAAGGCGTCTAGTTAATATGTCGTTTTTCCAAGCTTGAAGCCACGCATGATTGATGCATTTGAGAGTTACATTGGACTGATTATGAAGGCGTGATTCAAGGCTTGTGTTGGGCGTGAATTAAGGCATTGGTTGGCTGATTATTCTACCTCTTTACTTGGGGGTTATTTGTACTTAATTAGAGAGTTGTTGCTGGAATAAAGGAGCTTGAATCAAGGGTTTAAATGGGAGGTTACAAGCGTGACTCAAGGGGGCTGTTTGCACGTTTCTTGGACGTTGAAGATGCTCTTTGAAGACTTCATGTTTGCTGAACGTTTCCTCTTTAATTTAAGCATAGTTTTTAAGCTTAATTGAGTAGTTTTATTTTGTTGTTATGAGGGATTAATTGGACGGTTATATGAGCCTTTTAATCACCTTATAGTTAGTATCTTATTTTGTCTTTTAAATTAGGCAAGTGATGGATGATCATTAAAAGTTGTAAAGAGGAATCCCATGTTTTTTGTAACTTATACACTACTATAAATAGTGTGCTATGCATGAATGAAAGGTATCCAGAAATTTGCTTAAACACTTGTGTTTTGATTGATTAAACGTGACTTAGTAACTAGTCATTTTTAAGGTCCAAGTTTGTTAGCTCAAATTTGAAGAGTGCTAGTTTTGGTAGAGTGTTCCCAAACCTAGGAGCTTGCGTAGTGAACGAGTGGGTTGAGTGTTCCCTATTCCTAACTACACCAAGCAAAGGGTGAGTGTTCCCCTTTGTTATATCCGAAACTAGGGTGAGTTCCCCTATTTTCACCTTCATAGTTCACGATTTCACTAAGACCCCTTAAAACATACTTTTGTAACAAGGTTCTCATCTTGTTTACACATCATTTGGCGCGTCAGGTAGGGGGTGTTTTTCTAAACATTTCCTAAGGGGTCGAATACCTACATACCATGGGAGAAAACCCGGACTTAAGGACAGCGTTGGAAGCTCTTAATCGATCCATTGCTAGTCAAGAAAGGTTGGCCGAAACCAATGCCAATCTACAAGGGAACCTTGCTGCCTTGATGGCAAGGCTCATGAACGAGCAAGATAGGAGAGATCAAAATGAGGACCCTCCACCTAGGAGGAGGATAGAAGCCTCAAAGTGGACGTTCCTTCTTTTGATGGGACACTTGATCCAGAGAAGTACTTGGAATGGGAGAAATCCTTGGAGAGGTACTTTGAATATAAGGACATTCATGAGGATGTTCAACGTTTTAAGATTGCCAAAGTCAAGCTTAAAGGCTATGGTGATAGTTGGCTACAAGGAGAGCAAAGGGACGTGCCCTTAGGGGGAAAGCTCCTATCTCTACTTGGGGCAAACTCAAGAAACGGATGAAAGACCGTTTCATCCCACACAATTACAAGCAAAGTCAATATGTGAAGTGGAGTACCTTGCAACAAAATGGGGACTCTGTGGAGGATTACATAAAAGAGTTTGATAGACTTGCTATTGTGTGTGAAGTAACCGAAAATGAAGAGCTCAAGATGGGGCGTTTCGTATCTGGTTTGGACCAAGAATTACAAGACAAACTTGAAGGTTATACTAACCTCACGTTTGTTGAAGCTTGCAAATTTGGTGATTAAGTTCGATGCTAAGAGGAAAAAGAAGAAGCCTACTACCATCCCTCAATTGGCACGAAAACCTCTTTCCCTACAAAGGAAGGGTCTTCCTTCAACAGACCGAGTAATCCACCAAAGAAGGACACCAAAGGACGTGAAGCTAGGTGACATTGTGTGTTACAAATGTGGAGGACGAGGTCATTACAAGAAGGATTGTCCTAATACTAGGGCGTTAACCATACAAGAGGTTAAGCTCATGGCCACTCAAAACATCAACTGGGATGAGTTTGAGGAGGAGGAAGAAGAAGTTTGAAGATGATTGTGATGATTGCATGGCCGAGCCAGAGGGGAAGACTAGCCTCGTGATTAGGAGGGCCTTGCAAGCACGTGTGGAAGAGCATGCTGCCCCCCAACGCCAACACATTTTTCATCACCCGTTGTAGAATTGGTGACGAGGTATGTGATTGATTATTGATGGAGGGAGTGAGGCTAATACCGTGTCTAAGACCTTAGTATCTAAACTTGGTCTAACTACTACTAATCATCCACAAACCTTACAAGTTGAGTTGGTTAGATTCAAATGCTAGCACCGGGGTTAGGAAGCAATGCATGGTTTCTTTTTGTGTTGGTTCATATTGTGATTCTATATTATGTGATGTTGTGTCTATGGATGCTTGTCATATTCTACTTGGTAGGCCTTGGCAAACGGATAAAAAATCTATACATGATGGGTATCACAATACGTATACCATAGTCCATGAAGGGAGGAAGAAAAAACTACACCCTTTACCACCCCCACGGTTTTCACCATCACAAACCCCACAAAAAGAAGTATCCTTGTTGTCTCTTAAAGAGTTTGAGAGGGAGTTGGAAGGTGAGGGAGAGTTGTTCATGCTGTACTCCAAGGAAACCCACGAAAAATTTGTTGCTCATAATCCTAGGTTAGCCCAATTGATTAAGGATTTTGAGGACGTTTTTCCGGATGAATTACTAAAGGACTACCACCCATACGAGGAATTGAGCATCAAATTGATCTCATTCCCGGAGCACCCTTGCCAAATAAACCAGCCTATAGATGTAACCCTTTAGAAACTAAGGAGTTACAACGACAAATTGAAGAGCTAATGGGTATGGGTTATGTGCGTGAGTCCATGAGTCCATGTGCCGTTCCTGCTTTGTTGGTCCCTAAAGAAAGATGGTACTTGGAGAATGTGTATTGATAGTAGAGCCGTTAATAACATTACCATCAAGTACAGGTTTCCAATTCCAAGGCTTGATGACATGCTTGATGAGCTGAGTGGTTCCAAGGTCTTCTCAAAAGTAGACTTGAGAAGTGGGTATCATCAAATTCGCATGAGAGAAGGGGATGAATGGAAGACTGCGTTCAAGACAAAGCATGGGTTTTATGAGTGGCTCGTCATGCCATTTGGCCTTACAAATGCCCCTAGCACGTTCATGAGATTAATGAATGAAGTGCTAAGGCCATTCTTGGCAAGTTTGTGGTAGTATACTTGGATGACATTCTCATTTATTCACGTGATGAAGAAGCTCATTTTGATCATCTTTTTCAAGTATTTTCTGTTTTAAGACAAGAAAAATTGTATGGGAAACTAGAAAAATGTGATTTTTTATTGTATGAAGTCATGTTTCTTGGCTATATAGTTTCAGGTGATGGCGTGAAGGTAGACCCTAGCAAAATTGAAGCAATTCAATCATGGCCTAGTCCAAAAAACACTCACGGAGGTCCGTTTCTTTCCATGGCCTAGCTTCTTTCTATAGAAGATTTATCAAGAATTTTAGCACACTCATGGCTCCTATAACTGAGTGTACTAAGAAGGGGACGTTTGAATGGACTACACAAGCTCAAAAGGCCTTTGAAGAAGTCAAGGAGAAAATGTTGCAACACTCCTATTCTCGCACTTCCTGATTTTTCCAAGCCATTTGAAGTTGAGTGTGACGCAAGTGGAAAAGGTATTGGTGCCGTGTTGATTCAAGGTGGGCGTCCTATTGCCTACTTTAGTGAGAAGATGAGTCAAGGCAAGTTGAATTACTCCACCTATGACAAAGAGTTCTATGCTATGGTAAGAGCTCTAGAACATTGGTCACATTATTTGAGACCACAACCTTTCATTTTGCATTCCGATCATGAATCATTGAGGTTCATACATGGTCAAAAGAAGCTGAACGCAAGACACGCAAAGTGGGTCGAATTTTACAAAACATTTAACTTTTCCTCTAAATACAAGAGTGGGAAAGCTAATGTGGTTGCGGATGCTTGTCTAGAAGACATAATTTGCTTGGAATGGTTGAAGCAAAGGTACTTGGGTTCGATTTGATCAAGGAGTATTATCAAGAAGATGATGAACTCAAGGGGATAATTGAAAAATGTGTCCATGGAGTCTATGATCTGTTTCCTTACATAATGGTTTTCTTTTTAAAGGAAATAGATTATGTATTCCAAAATGTCCCATTAGAAGTTTGTTGATACATGAAGCTCATGGGGGAGGACTAGCTGGTCACGTTGGTATTCACAAGACAATGGAGCTTCTCCAAGCTCACTTTTATTGGCCGAAAATGTTAGCCACGGTTCATCGTGTGGTGAGTCGTTGTTCTACTTGTCAAAGAGCAAAAATGGTGTTTCACAAAGGTCTCTACAAGCCCTTGCCAATTCCCGAAAGACCTTGGGAAGATGTTAGTATGGATTTTATTGTAGCTTTGCCTAGAACTCAAGAGGCAAGGATTCAATAATGGTGGTGGTTGATCGGTTCTCAAAAATGGCTCACTTCATTCCTTGCCATAAAACTGAAGATGCAATGAAAGTGGCTAAGTTATATTTTGAAGAGGTGGTTCGTTTTCATGGGGTGCCACGCACCATTGTGTCGGATCGTGATACTAAGTTCCTAAGTTCATTTTTGGAAGTCTATGTGGCGTTTGATGGGAACTAAGTTGCTGTTTTCTACCTCACATCATCCACAAACTGATGGTCAAACGGAGGTGGTGAATAGAATACTTGGTTCGTTGCTTAGGGCTTTGGTGAGCAAAAGTACCAAAGATTGGGATAATAAGCTTGCTCATGCCGAGTTTGCTTATAATAGGACACCTAGTGCTACTACAAAGTATTCTCCTTTTGAAGTAGTCTATGGCGTCAATCCTTATGTTCCCATTGATCTTATTTCTTTGCCAAAGACAAGTTCGTTCATGGTGGGGCAAAGGAGCAAGCCGAGTTCATGCTTAAAGTCCATAAAGAAGTTCGAAGAAACATTGAAAAGGCAAATGAAATCTACAAGAAACAAGCCAACAAACGAGTGCGAAATGTGAAGTCTTTTGAAGTTGGGGATTGGTGTGGATTTACATGAGGAAAGAACGTTTTCCTAGCAAAAGGAAGAACAAGCTTATGCCAAGAGCCGAGGGTCCGTTTGAGGTCATGGAAAAGATCAATGACAACGCATACAAAGTTGATTTGGAGGCCAATATGGTGTCTCAAGTACATTCAACATTGGTGATCTTGCTCCTTACTTTGATGATGACGAATTGAGGGCAATTCCTTTTGAAGAAGGGGAGGATGACCAAGATGGTCAAGGGTCACTCATCCATGGTCAAGATAAGGAAGTCCAAAACGGTGCTAGTGAGCAAGGTACTGAGGGAATCTTTTTGTCCAAATCATTCTTCAATCCAATGCACGGTTTTAGTCCAAGGAGTTTAAACAAATGGTTACACTTCTCTTAGTGTAACTAATCTTGTTGAAGGCGTCTAGTTAATATGTCGTTTTTCCAAGCTTGAAGCCACGCATGATTGATGCATTTGAGAGTTACATTGGACTGATTATGAAGGCGTGATTCAAGGCTTGTGTTGGGCGTGAATTAAGGCATTGGTTGGCTGATTATTCTACCTCTTTTACTTGGGGGTTATTTGTACTTAATTAGAGAGTTGTTGCTGGAATAAAGGAGCTTGAATCAAGGGTTTTAAATGGGAGGTTACAAGCGTGACTCAAGGGGGCTGTTTGCACGTTTCTTGGACGTTGAAGATGCTCTTTGAAGACTTCATGTTTGCTGAACGTTTCCTCTTTAATTTAAGCATAGTTTTTAAGCTTAATTGAGTAGTTTTATTTTGTTGTTATGAGGGATTAATTGGACGGTTATATGAGCCTTTTAATCACCTTATAGTTAGTATCTTATTTTGTCTTTTAAATTAGGCAAGTGATGGATGATCATTAAAGTTGTAAAGAGGAATCCCATGTTTCTTTATGTAACTTATACACTACTATAAATAGTGTGCTATGCATGAATGAAAGGTATCCAGAAATTTGCTTAAACACTTGTGTTTTGATTGATTAAACGTGACTTAGTAACTAGTCATTTTTAAGGTCCAAGTTTGTTAGCTCAAATTTGAAGAGTGCTAGTTTTGGTAGAGTGTTCCCAAACCTAGGAGCTTGCGTAGTGAACGAGTGGGTTGAGTGTTCCCTATTCCTAACTACACCAAGCAAAGGGTGAGTGTTCCCTTTGTTATATCCGAAACTAGGGTGAGTGTTCCCCTATTTTCACCTTCATAGTTCACGATTTCACTAAGACCCCTTAAAACATACTTTTGTAACAAGGTTCTCATCTTGTTTACACATCAAATGGAGAGGAACTCAAGGAGAAACTTCAATGCATGAATAATGAAGGAGGCGTGAATCAAGGGGGTTACAAATGCACCTCCAACGGTTTTCTTGCTGAATTTGTGGCTGTTTGCTTAGCTCATTTACATGCGTTTAATAAGGAAGTTAAGGGGCATATGAAGACCAAGAGGCTGCTGCACTTAGACGTAATCTTAGGCTTAGTTTTATTTTCGTTGTTTAAAGCTTTAATAAATCAGTTTGCTTCTTTATGTAAAGCAATGATTGTTAGTTCTTTTAGTTGCTTATAAAAGGCATGTAATTATAGTTTGTAAGCAGATTTTGATCAATGAAAAAGAGGCTTTTGCTTGAACTTAAAAACTGATTATTTGTTTGTGAAATAACCGGTTTTTGTACCAAGTTAGACTTGAAGAGATTGAGTGGTCAAGTGAGTAATCCTTCCATACAATTTGAACTTAGTAGGTTGAGTGAGAAATCCTTGCCTTCATATCCTTGTTTGTTAAGTGAGTAATCCTTACAAACCTACATTTTTTCCAACCCCAAAACCCACCTAAAATCCTACAAAAACGTACCTAAACACCAACCTTCTCTCAATCCTTTGCTTAAGCTTGATTCATTAACTTGTTTTAAACTAATTTCATCTATTAGTTTTTTACATCAATAAGACCCAATAGAAAAACTAACCATGCATTGTTTCCTAACCCCCGTGCTAGCATTAGAGTCCAACCAACTCAACTTATAAGGATGTGGGTGATTTGTCGTTGTAAGGCAAGTCTAGCTATCAAGGTTTTGGAAACTGTGTTTGCCTCACTACCACCATCAACAATTAAATCACATACCTCGCCTTTAATCTTGCACTTGGTAATGAAAATATGTTGCCTTTGCGGTGCTAAGGGTTCGTCAACGCGAGCTTGCAACGCCCTTCTCACAACCAGATTTGTTTTTGGTCTTTCTTCGGGGAAACATTGCTCTTCCTCCCCGTCCCTTCAGTAGAATTCAAGTCCTCCACTTCTTCAACCTCGAAATCCTCCCAATTGATAGTTTGGTTAGCAATAAGCTTTACCTCTTGTATGGTCAAGCTCTGGAATTTGGACAATCCTTCTTAAAATGACCCCTTCCTCCGCACTTGTAACAAACAATGTCACTCATTTTGAAATCTTTCTTGTCCTTCTTAGGTGGATCGTTGGCTTTGACAAAAGAAGAACTATCCTTGACAGGGAAGGTTGGTCTTCGTGCCGCTTGAGGGGTGACAATCGGCTTCTTTCTTCTTTCCTTTTTGAATCAAACTTGATCACAAATTTGCAAGCTTCAGCAAAGGTTAAATTGGTGTAACCTTCAAGTTTGTCTTGCAACTCATGATCCAACCCAGCCACGAAATGTCCCATCTTGAGTTCTTCATTCTCCGTGATTTCACACACGATAGAAAGTCTGTCAAACTCTTTGATGTAGTCCTCAGCCGATTCTCCATTTTGTTGCAAAGTGCTCCACTTCACATATTGACTTTGCTTGAAATTGTGAGGAATAAAACGATCCCTCATCCTTTTCTTCAACTTGCTCCAAGTAGAAATGGGCGCCTTACCCCTAAGAGTTACGCCCCCTTTGCTCTCCTTTGTAGCCAGTTATCTCCATAGCCTTTCAACTTCACCTTGGCTATCTTTGTATTTTTGGAACTCCTCTTGAATGTCCTTGTAATCGAAATACCTCTCCAAGGATTTCTCCCATTCCAAGTACTTTTTCTGGATCAAGTGTCCCATCAAAGGCAGGGACGTCCACTTTGAGACTCCTATCTTCCCTCCTAGGTGGAGGGTCTTCGCCTTGATCTCTCCTATCATGCTCGCTCATGAGCCTTGCCATTAAGGCAGCAAGGTTCCCTTGTAGATTGGCGTTGGTCTCGGCCAAACCTCTCTTGACTAGCAATGGATCGATTAAGAGCTTCCAAAGTTGTCCTCAAGTCTTGATTTTCTCCCATGGTATGTAGGTATTCGACCCCTTTGGAAGAATTTAAGAAAACTCTCCCCCTACCTGACGCGCCAAATGATGTGTAAGCAAGGTGAGAAACTTGTTTACAAACGGTCTGGAATGCGTGTTGTGCTTAATTTAATTATGAAGTATCAATGTGGAGTAACTAAGAAGGATTAGGGGAACTCTCACCCTTAACCTTGAGGATATAACAATGAGGAACACTCACTCACTTGTTTGGGCGTAGTAGTGATTAGGGAACTCTCACCTATTCGACAACTACCAGTTTAAGTCTTAGGAACTCTCACTAAAACACAAACTCTTCAAATTGAGGTAACTCTCAAATTTGGAAGATAAACCTGACTAGCACAAGTCAAATTTAGATCATACACTCGTGTGTTTTTTGCAAATTTTCTAAGTACCTTTCATTGATCATTAGCATGCTATTTATAGCTTTTAGTACATCATTTAATTGCCACTACACTTAGCTAAAGCAAACAACAAATCAGAAATAACAAAGCTGAAAATAAGGGTAGATTAAGTGGCTCATAACCGTCCAACCTAATCCCCATTACAACTAATTATTACTCTAATTAAGAAAGCTTATCACAAGGGAAACATAGCTAAAAATAAGGGAAGAACGTTCAGCAAATTGACTCCGAACTGCTGTTCAAATTCTTCCTTCAAAGTAGCCTTGAAATGCGCCTTTGTAACCTCCCAATTAAGCCTTCATTCAAGCTCCTTTATTACGAAATTAAACCAGCTTGAAACTCTCCTTAAAGTATGCATTAAATCAGCCTACATTCCCCATTATTGAGGTAATTAGTCACGCTCAATATGGTGCAACCATTTGAGGAATTATATGGACCGTGCATGCAAAAATCCATAAGAGTAGCATCGAAGAAAGACTTGGACAAAATTAATTCCCTAACGTTCAACTCTTGGACTGGAATATTCGAACCTTGACCACTTTGGTCAATTTGATTCAATTAGCTTTGTTGAATGCATTTGACTTTCAATTGAC